AGTCTGCACTTTCAGCTTGGGCAGTTTCATAGTAAATTTTAGTAATATTTAGCTTTCTCTGATACATTCTGTGTAATCACTCACACTGGTGCTTAAAAGGTACAAGTTTATTTAATTTCTTTCTAATTTTTTGTCCAGATGAATTCTCAGTGGTCTTTTTTCCAAGATGGTAAAATTTAACCTCACAGTAACTCCTGATGATGCTCTTGGTCAACTGAAATATAACATGATTTTCACCAACTGGTGAGTCAAAAATATGGTGATCTAGCTCAGTAAAGACTGTGTATGGACACTGAAGCCAGAACATATGGACAATGAACAATGAAGCCAGAGCAGAAGTGGTCAGAACATATAAGTGTCTGCTTTCTGAGAACAGAACAGTATGGACAATGCAACCAGAACAAAAGTGGTCAGAACATATAAACATGGTGACCACTTTTTTTGATGAACATTTTGTATCAACTGTTTTCATAGTACTTCATCCTTAGGGATGTTTATCATGTTAATGCAAGTCTAATTTCAATCAATATAATAGTATACTGTAAAAAACTAAAAATAAATTGCTTACTGATGAAATGTCCTGGGAAGTTTTCTTTTGATTTTTGATTCTGTCACTTGACCCTTCACTATTACTTCTTATACTTTTTGCATCAGGAATGACTTTACCCATTGCTATGAAATTTTCTGAGTTTAATTCAAATTTTTAATTTCAATTGGCACCCAAAGTTCTTCAGGTCTCCAATTTTTTTTTAAAATTGGACATTTTTTTAATGATATTTATACAGTAACCACTAAACTCAAAAGGCAAAAATTGAGAGTTTATCATGTTTTCAATTTCTGAGAGTACTGGCAAATTTATTTTATTTTTTTAGAAAAGTTTAATTATTGTGCATCTGATGAGTCAAAGAATTAGAAAACACTATTAAACAAAGTCAAAAGTAATACTTTATTATAACAATAGAATTATTTATACAATAGTGAGTGCAACTATATTTAAGATTATAAAATCTACTGTGCATCAAGCAGTTTATCCCATTGACCTTACAATATACAATAATGCAAGAAGTAATGTGTCTCATTACAAAATAGGGTTTCCCAAAGCAGTTCTAAAATTTAACTGATTATCAATGACCTATGCTGTTAATAATTACAGTAATTTGGCAGTTTGATTGCTTGAATTAAAAACGAAAGGTCTAGGACTCAACAGAAAGAAATATTTCTTAACATCAAATATTAAAGATAGTTTGAAGCATTCATACAATTGAAGGTTTTAGAAAGTTTGATTATCAACTACATTTACATAAAGCAATAGCAATTATGTTATATTGCCTTGCGAATATATTAAGTTGCAATTATTCTTCTCTAGCTTCTAATACATTTTAATCTTGATGTGATTCCATGGAACTATAAAATAATATATGATATGTTGTATGTATGTAATAAATATACAAATAGTAAGGAGTAAGAACCATTTTTGGTGTCAATGTTTTATATATTGACTATTTAAGATTTTAAGTCTATTTTTGCCATTGATAAACTGTGACTAAAATATATTTTTCAGTGTCGCCGTCTTTTACAAAAGAATATGCAAATACATTCACAATTTTGCCATGAAGCAATGGCGATAGCTCAAAATGTTTTATTTGGAATTGGTGGAACTATATTTATATATACATCAACAATGATGGTTTGTCCATAAGGTTTGTCCTATGGGCGCCCTTCATACGGGTCGACAAATATTGATATTTTCGAAAAACATAATTAAATTCTGCCTACCCGTTATTCACAATATGAAGTTCCAGCGATCTGGCATCATTTACAACAAGTTGCACACTTGAAAAACCAAAATTGACTGCATAAAAGAGGATTTATTGTCAACTTTGTCCATTTCCGCAATACAAAATATACAAATTATCACGCTCCGTGGGAACGACCAATATGGCCTCCGCACGTAAACTGCGACTGCGATCAGGCTTCAATTTTCGCCTGCCTACAGGGTGGGATGCGCTATCTAGTGTATATGAGATATCTATGGACTGATGACATTTAAATCGTATTTGGAACATACTGAGCCTATTTTCGAAGAATTAGGCATCCTAGATATTTTCAAAATAAATTATTATTTAACTGCCATGTTCATGTTTCGTTACCACCATCTTAAGAATCTACCAGAAGTTTTTGAAAATTATTTTGTAACAAATAATCAGATCCATCAATACAACATGAGAAATGCATCAAAACTCTATAGGTGTTATAAGAGAACAAACTATGTAAAACACAGTCTATCTAATAAAGGAATTGTTATTTGGAATTCATTAGAACTAAAATTTAAAGGCACAAACTCCTATAATGTCTTCAAGAAAGAAATGAAACAGTATTTTTTACTGAATCTTGTATAAAATTCTACGGTCTTCATATTTTATTGATATTTTAACATAAATCTTTTATTATTGTAGTACTCCTGCTTTATCATCCTTCTTTTGTAAATAGCATATATTCTAAAATTACTTTTTTCATTATCTTTAACTGTAAATATATTAATTAACCTCATTATGAACCACAACTACAAATAGGGGCCAAATAAGCCCAATAATAAAACCAAAAAGCCTCTAAAGGTTTCTAGTAGGTCCCTAGCCCAATATCATTAGAAGAAAGTTGTTTTGTAATTATTAAAATCTGTACATAGGGGAAAATAATAAATAATAATAATAATAATAATAGCCTTAAATCAAATCAATAACATGAGCACAAATAGTAATCCTGATGATATCAACAAGGACTGGGAACGTTTGTGTGATCGATATCGTTTCATGGATGCTATACATCGTCATATCCCGACTAAAATTATTAAAAAACGAACATCTCCCCCGTGGCTAGACAGTGAAACGCATCAACAATTACACAAAAAGGAAACGGCTAGAAGAAAAGCCAAAAAGAGCTGCTGCAGTAACAACCTCTGGGAAAATTTCAGAAACCTTCGTCGCTGATATCACGTAAGCGAAAAGAGTTCTTTCAGTCTTTGCCTGTTCTTATGAAATCAAACACAAAACGATTCTGGTCGTTGTTCAAATTTACATCAAATTCAATTAGTGTACCAAAGAAAATGAGTGGGAAGCGTGATGAAGGAACGACATGTCACAGCTAAAAATCCTGAAGACGTTGCAAATCTCTTAAACAACTTCTTCTTTTCTATGTTTAATAAACCTCTTTCCCAAGAAGATTATGATGCCCATCCAGCGTCCACCACTACCTTGTGTGACCCCATAAGCGATTTCAACATCTCACCTGATGACGTTCAACGTGCTCTTCTCTCTCTCGATGACAACAAAGCTACTTGTCCAGACAAAATTCCGGCAAAGTTGCTTAGATGTTGTGCTCCATACACTTTCTCATCCCTTGCTGATCTCTTCAATAGAAGCTTAACTTCCGGTAGTGTACCAGCGGAATGGAAAGTTTCTAATATAATACCCATTCCTAAAGGTGGTCAAAAGAACGAAGTCTCACATTATCGACCCATATCTTTACTTCCAATTGTATCAAAAGTGCCCGAGCGTCGCACATACGACCAATTGATGAACCATGTCTCAAGTGAACTGCATAACCTCCAATATGGATTTCTCAGGGGGAAGTCTACAACATCACAATTACTAAAGATTCTACACGAGTTTGGTGAGTCACTCGACAAAAGAATCTGTCCTTTATCTCGATTTCGCTAAAGCGTTTGACAGGGTTGATCATCAGCTGCTTCTCAAGAAACTTAGTAATTTTGGAGTTTGCGGAAACTTGCTGAGCTGGCTTCATAACTATCTAACAGATCGCCATCAAAAAGTTACCATTTTAGGAAAAACATCCCGATCAATACCCGTTCTATCAGGTGTTCCTCAGGGTTCAATGCTTGGCCCTTTATTGTTTCTTGTATTCAAATTTTTTCAAATTTTTTCAAATTTTTATCAAATTTTATTGTTAAATATCCATCTTTGGCATATAGAAATACAATGGATTTACAAGTTAAAAATATATACTAAAATACATGTATAACCTATGAGAAGCCTGACTTGATTTTGGGTTGCAGCTTGTTGACTGACTCACGTTGGATTTAGTTTGGATTTGACCTCTACTTAACGTTAAAGACATTTTTCGCTGATGTTGTTGACCTGCAGACTTGTACGACTGTAAACTGTCGATGCTTTTATGCCCGCTCAGCTGTGCTACATAATTTTTTGGGATGTCAGCGTCGATTAACCTTGAAATTGATGTTTTCCGAACAGAATGGTTGGTAATTTTTGCTCCTTGACCTCGTTGGCGGTTCGCCTTTTTTGCTGCAGTTGACAGAAAGTTCCCAATTTCGTTGTTTAATACCAAGCGGTAACTTCTTGTACCAGATTTGGTCGTTAATTAGCTCTGCAATTGTGTTTGACAGTCAAATAAAATGACGAGTCCGATCCGGTTTATTCATTTCCACAGGACGGTGGCTTCGAAACTTTTTGTAAAATTCTACCGGGCATCTATCGGAGTTTGTACCATACAACTTCGGTTGAAATGCTCTTTGGTGACCTTGCTCTTGTCCTGAGCGGGTTTTCGTTCCTCGTTCGGCAAGCCAAACCAACATTTCACGATTGTCTTCTGGGTCCTTTTGTAGTTCAACGTCGCCCTAGCGTAACTTTCGACTTTCGTCTCTGGCACGAAAACCAAAGTGCATAGATAGAAACCACCATATAGTTCTTTGCAACGCACTTGGAGAGCTATCGCCAAACTGGCCAGTGACAAATAGAGTGTTCTCTTCGTCGTCCGTAAGTGCTCTCGTTGCTTGTGATTTGCATCCTTTTCCTTGTTTTACAAGATTTTTTTCTTTTGGTAGCTAAGACTTCTCGAGACTTCTCGAATTCAATGTCTTTTAAAATGTTTGTTTGAATGTTATTTTTAGTTTAGTATCGTTGTAAACTTCTCTGGAAACTTGACAGTGAAGACGGTTCGTATCCGTCGCCATTTGCTTTACGAACATTGATAAAAAATTTGCAGAGTAAGTGGTCAAGTTCTGCTTTCGGTAAGTCCTCAATTTGTTTTTCACCTTTGTTAACTGTCTCCAGGTAACGTTGGAAAACCTTCATGTCGCTTTTCGTTTTCGTTATTGTGGTTTTCGCTTTCTGGTTGTGTATAAATTCTTCAATTTTTTCTTGGCTGTTTTTGGTGTTGTTTTGTTCGGCGTTTTCGCCTTCAAGCCTACCATTTGGGTCATTTGTTTCATCCGAGATATCATTGGGATAATAAAATTCACTCGGTGAGTGTTCCTCGTCGTCACTATATGGCATTAAATAAAGTTTATTAGCTTCTTTTAATTTTAGAAAATTTTTGGACAGTGTTTTTACAATTTCACGAGCGGGCAAGATGAATTTCTGAGCGGGCAAGATGACTTTTTCCAGACCGGTAATCAACCAATCAGCGTGCGGCAATTATCTCAGTCATATAATAATATAAAATATAAAAGAACATTAGTTTACAAAAGATAAGCTTGAGTCAGGGTTAAACAAATCAACGGTCAATGTTATAGGAAGCTTGATGAAATCGTTATCCGATGAAATTAAAGCGTTATCCAACCCTCCTACAACCGCTCCCTCTTTTGTTTGGTTTATTCTTATGTAGTTTATCGCTAATAGTCACCATTTGCAAAAACTGATCCTCTATAAATAACAATATTTTTTACTGTATCTTAGATTTGGTCGTAAAAAATCTGTCATTACTGCCCTGATTATTGCCTTCGTTGCATCTGTTATCGCAGCGGCTATTCCGACAAACCAAAGTTCGGGTAAGTGTTCGCAACGGATAAAGCACGGATGTCTATTATTACAA